ACACGTTTGACCATATCGTCAGGACGACACCCTGAAACAAATGGACAAAGTGAACAGATGAACCGTTTGTGCCAGCAGCTTCTGCACATGTATGTGAGACCCGATCAAATTGATTGGGATGAGAACTTACCCAAGATAGCAAGTGCAAACAATAGTAGTGTTCATACAGCTATAGGGCGAACACCTAATGCATTGCATAAGGGGTGGAAACCTAAGCGTCCCATTGATGTGCTGACAAGGGACCAATTCCTTAGGTTACCTCCAGGGACCAGGGAATATGTAGTATTGTTTCAAGAAGACGTTAGGAAAGTAAAGGATAATCTAAAGAAAGCTCATGACCGGATGATTGAACAAGCTAATAAGCATCACTGGCCATCGACATTTCAGGTAGGTGATCTCATCTGGGTGAAGTCCAAAGAGTTTTCACTAGAAGAAGATGCGTCTCAGAAACTATTGCCTGTCTATTTTGGACCCTGGGAAGTTCTTAAAATAATTGGGGATGCAGAGGGACCGTCTTACCGAATTGATATTCCCCCTCACCTCAAAATATATCCCGTCTTTCACGCGTCCAAATTGCTACCTTATGTAGAAGGAAATGAGTTCCAGATAGATCGTCTATGATTCCGCCAGACATGGACGGCGGATATGAAGTGGACAGAATCACAGAGCATGGGTACTTTTCAACAGGTGCACGTGGACGACCTGAGAAGCAGTTCAAGGTACGTTTCAAGTCTCAAGCACCATCTGAGGACAGATGGTTTAGTAAAAGAGAACTACTTGAAACTGCTCCTGATATTGTTGCTGCTTATGAACGAGGGTTAAAGTCTTAAATATTTATGCGGTGGAACTCAAAAATGGGCTGGCAGGAATGCAGTAACCGTGTTCAGAAGTAGCCTGGGGCTCAGAACTTAGCCCCAGGAAACGTAGATCTGAGTTGGTCTGCACTGGGCTGTGTGACCAACACACGCCCAGGCCCGAGTCTGTCGAGTGTGGCTATGTGACCGAACGCTGCACACAGGAAATTCAAGACTCAAAGTCAACTGTAGAGTTAAAGGTACCGCACCCAGGCTCTTGGTTGGATACACTCACTTGTTGTGCGCAGGTACCCAGACAGCATCCAGGGCGGAGGGAATTCGGTTTCAGGCCAATCTGGGCCCTCATTTGCATTGAGATCTGGACGGCTGAGGGATACAGCATCTGAGGTCCAGACCCCGCGTAAACACTACATAAGAGCTGACTTCCTGGCTTTGACATTCATTTAGTCTTGCGTCAATGCTGACTTCATGCGTTGACTTTGATGCTAGTGCGACGCTGCGACACTGGCGGGACGCTGGCTCTATGCTGGCATATGAGAAGAGACGGCGACGTGCTGCTGGCTGGCATGGTGGCTGGCTGGCAATTGTCTTCTTGGCAAGCTGACGTGGCAGCTGCCACACGCCGCCGCTGACGTGGCTGCTGCCACATGTACTCTGACGTGGCGGGGCTACGTGATTGATAGTGCTGTTCTGATTCATCGTCACTTCGGAAGGAGATCAAGACTGGGGTTATCGTAGATACGTACTTGATATCTTGATGTCGACATTCTCCAGTTCGCTGACGAGGACAGGCTGACGTGCCACATGGCACATTGAGAGAGAACTTCAGATTTGTGTTCGGGTTATTGATTATTGAGGTGGCGAGATAGGAGGGAGCCCGAAGCAGGAGTGGGCATTGTTGATTTCTCCCCTCTCAGT